GCTTCTCTCAGATGAATTTAATACTGACTGCAACAAGAGCTTCATTGCATTTAAACCCTGTAGCCAACTTAATATTTATGAAATTGGTAGGCCCTCCTTTGTTTAAGCCTTAAGTGTATGTAAATTCATGGTTTTTGAAAGGACAACATCGGGCGACACACACCAACAGCAAGCAGAGGAATCGGGAAGATGTTACTGCACAAAACCTCATGCCAATGTGGAAGTTACTGTGAGCTGTCAGCTGTGTTATATGAGGTAATGCATGTTCTTTGTACTTTTGTCTATTTACTGTATTTATTTTCCCCAATTTGAACTATAAAATGGTGGTTTTCTTGAGTCAAAACGAGAGTACCCCTAAACATATATTTTTTTAGAAAAAAGAACTGATTACAGTCTTAGAAATGATATGAGTATCTTTATTCACAATGGGCTGAAGCATTCTTTCCATACCTTTTGGCCATTTCAGAGTGTCTTGAGGCTGGGCACAAGTCTGCCCAGTGATGATAGCGCGCGCGCGCACACACACACACACACACACACACACACATGCCAAAGGCCCTGTTGAATACTACTACTTTCTGACAGGCTTCTCATTGCCACTCTGCTCCTGCTGGTTGTAGCTCTACCAGTGCTTGGAGCAGGAGGGAAACTTTTTTGTGTCTAAAAAGAAATAATAGCAATGTAATCCTGTACCACCTTGTATTGTAATGGTGAGCCCCAGATACTGCCCCCAATAAATATGTTAGACTCTCCTATGTGAAAGTGGCCAAAAATCCAGTGGGGCCCTGGCAGGTAGCCCATTGCAGCTATTCGTTTAATAACATTGTGCAAATCTTACATGACTAAATAAATTGGGATTAACACTCAAAGACGCCTGCTTCTTGGGAGAAAAGCAATGACAAACCTAGACAGCATCTTAAAAAGCAGAGACATCACCTTGCCAACAAAGGTCCGTATAGTTAAAGCTATGGTTTTCCCAGTAGTGAAGTATGGAAGTGAGAGCTGGACCATAAAGAAGGCTGATCGCCAAAGAATTGATGCTTTTGAATTATGGTGCTGGAAGAGACTTCTGAGAGTCCCATGGACTGCAAGAAGATCAAACCTATCCATTCTGAAGGAAATCAGCCCTGAGTGCTCACTGGAAGGACAGATCGTGAAGCTGAGGCTCCAATACTTTGGCCACCTCATGAGAGAGAAGACTCCCTGGTAAAGACCCTGATGTTGGGAAAGATGGAGGGCACAAGGAGAAGGGGACGACAGAGGACGAGATGGTTGGAGAGTGTTCTTGAAGCTACAAACATGCATTTGACCAAACTGGGGGAGACAGTGGAAGACAGGAGTGCCTGGCGTGCTCTGGTCCATGGGGTCACAAAGAGTCAGACTAAACGACTAAACAAAACAACACTCATCAAATCTGTTAGAGGCAGAACAGTGCCCCCCTTCAAAAATGTTTTCTTATTCTGTCCCACAAGTAAGAAACTACTGAAAAAGTGGGGTGGGGTGGGGGTGGGAGAGCGAGAGCGAGAGAGAGCGCACCGGCTGGTTGGGAAGGTCATTGAATGTCAGAAGAAAACTTGACACAAAACTTGTGATTTTTTTTTTTCAGAAGTAGAAAGAATCTCAGGTGGAGTGCCTACATAAAGAGACATTGATTTCTTCTTCTGCGGATAGTCGCATGTGGGTTTTAACAAAGCAATCTCTGAAAAGCAGAGAATGAGCTGATAATATGCAATGCAAACTGGTGATGGAGAAAAAGGAGTAGGAGGCAAATATGCATTGAGTGGGACACACAGAAGCTGACAAATGAAGGTCAGGATGCAGCCTTAACAACAGGACAAACCCATGAGTGATTAAACAGGCTGCTCAAAAGACATTATGCTTCTATAGGAAACAGATGGAATAAAGTGGGAAAAGAGACAGAGTGGAATGCCTGAATTTTAGGATTGCTTTTTTGTTCTTTAGAGGGAGGAGCTTTCATGCTGAATCCTTTTCTTTAAAAAAAAAATTTAATTGACAAAGCAGATGACAATCTTTTATGAGATAAACAACTTACTTTTATTTCTCTCACCAAACATCTTGTCAGTGTGCAGAGCAGATCTCCACCCTTCAGTGAATCACAGATGTCTAGCACACCAGACATTGGCACTGATTCATTTAGATTAACTTTGCCAAGACATCTGCCAATTTATGCCGCCTATCACAGCAAACCCTATTTGATATATTGTATAACCTCAGTTCCTTATGAAAACCTTGGCTTGATTTATGAGTGATTGGTATCCTGCAGGATAAGGGTTGTGTGACAAGAATTAGAATGACGCTTGACATTTAAAGAAGATTTCTTGATGAGAGGGCAAAACATTTTTTTCCTTTTGGCTCACTGTGAAGCATCTGCTACAACACCATACTAGGATGTTTCAAACAGAATCGTGCCTCTGGGCCATTTGGAAAACAGCAACATTTCAATGAAAGCCATTGGGGGTGTGGGGGTATTGGATATTATTAAAATGTTCAGATAAAAGGGAAACCATTCATATGGGGCAATATGATTCACAGAACCAATAAAATCAAGATGAAACTGAAGACCATCTTTATTTATTTATGAATAAAAATATTTAAGGATATATCACAGTGGTTTACAACAAAGAGAAAAACATAAAAATGAAAAAAAATCATAGAAAGGGAAAAACAAGTGAAAAACAAAAAGAAATTAATAACAAACATGAATAGAACATTGCATCAACTATTTGCATTGTGGCAAAATTCTCTTATAAGAACTAGGAAGGGGATATTCCCTAAAACCTAAGGCACTTTAGTGCTGAACTGATTGTGGGGGGGAACGCCTCTCTAATACATAGCGACACACGCGCGCACACACACACACACAAACATCATCATCATCATCATCCTGGGTACTTCACTGTTCAGTGGGAGGCCTTTTGTTGTTGTTGTTGCATTTCCACAAAGAGGTCAAGAAAATGTAGCTTAGAGGAACATAGTTAGTAATGAAAGCTTCTGCATATGCTATGGGTTGCTTTGCTTAGCATTAAGCGGGTGGCACTGTGGTCTAAACCACAGAGCCTAGGGCTTGCCAGTCAGAAGGTCGGCAGTTTGAATCCCTGTGAGGGGAGAAGCTCCCGTTGTTCGGTCCCAGCTCCTGCCAACCTAGCAGTTTGAAAGCAAGTACCACTCCGGCGGGAAGGTAAACGGCAATTCTGTGTGCTGCTCTGATTTGCCAGAAGTGGCTTAGTCATGCTGGCCACATGACCTGGAAAAACTGTCTGCGGACAAACGCCGGCTCCCTCGGCCAGGAAAGCGAGATGAATGCCACAACCCCAGAGTCATCCACAACTGGACTTAATGGTCAGGGGTCCCTTTACCTTTACACTTCCTACTTCACTTTACACTTCCTACTTCCTACTGCAGTGTTGCAGAACCTCTTCCTCAATGCATGGGGAACATCACTTGACGTGCCCGTTGATACTTAGAGCTTGAAAAGTCCTCCTTGCTTACTTCTTTTTATGTATAGCCTAACCGACTTCAGTTACAAAGCATTCTCTGAAAACGCATAAACTTTGAAAAACATTGTGACAATTATTATTCTAGCTTATATCAATAAAATTCTCTAAGGGACTTGTAAAATAAAAAAAGTTATGCAGTAATCATGTATTAATTAAAATCAGTAAACAAACAAACAAACCGAACAGCATAAAACTTTCCCAAGTGGATACAGAATACACTTTACAGCATTCTGAGCTGCAGAACAATTTTTTGGGGAGAGAAATAATGGCCAGTTTGTGTTGCATCTGAGCATTGAGAGCCAATAAACTTGTATTCAGTTCAGGTACGACGACTTTCAGCAACATCACTATTCAGCAGACAGTTCTATAATCTCACTTCAGCTGCAGAGAAGGTCCTATTTCAGGTGGTAACCAACTACGCTTCAAGATAGTGGGAACAAGGAAAAGAATTTCTAGATATTTTCTAAATATATGGCTCACATGGTTCATATGGGAGGTTCATGCTCATCAAAAGTCAAATAATTCCACACACACCCCACCTCAGTGCTTGACACAATAATTTTGCCTGCTATGGATAAAGTCAGAATGCATAAATACTACTTTGGGGAGAAAAATAAAATTGTTAGGTGATAATATTTTTTTAAACCATATACCAACTATTTGGGGCTTGACAATGGGTCAGTGTAAATGGACTCTCTCCTTACTTCTGCCAAGAGATTGATGTTGCTTCATTGTATATTTCCATGGCCCTCTTTGATAAACGGATAGACGTTACGACAACTCTTGCAACATACAAATGGATTGCTTTTAGATGCAGATTTTGTATGGATACATATAATGATATTTTGAATGTATTTATGAAAATTATAATGACTTGTTAATAATTTTACACTTGTTGGAATAATTGTATTACTTATATATATCATATTGTATTACAATTTCATGTTTTTCTTTCTTTTTCTTTTTTTCATTTTCCTTCACTTCATTTCCTCACTGAAAATTTTTAATAAAACATAAACAGAAAAAAGGGGTACGTTGTCTGAAACTTGCACATATCTTGCACATTTGTTATTTGTGCACATATCTTGCACATTTGTTATTTGTAACCCCATAGCATCGTTTGTTGATTCTCAATAGGATTATGACGGTGATGGTGATGACATTTGTATATTCACCACCCAGTTAAGTTCTCTGGGTGGTGCGTATTGACAATAAAATACAACATACAATTCGCAATAAAAGGTAAAGCCAAGAAATCACTTATGCAAAAAAAGCCCAGCACAAACCAGCAAACACTTAAAATCAATACAGAACCCAGCAGCTAAAATAGGGTAAACAATTCCAACGCAGCATCAAACCCAGCATGGAAGCAGGGGGACTCGGTGTAAAAAATGGAGCTACCTGCTGTGATTTAAAAAGCCTGGGTGCAGAAGTAGATATGGCTGATGGGCTGGATTTAGACATCCCCCAATCCTCAAGAGCCACTTTGACAGGTGGGTGGAACTGTTCACCTGTCAATCTCTCATGAAGGCAGGTGAAGACTCCCCTCCCCCGCCACATGGTTTGATTTCAAATTGTGCTGGCAAAGGAAGCATCTCCCTTTCTACTTCCTTTGTCCATGCCGTCTGAAATCGAAAGGTGCTGTCCAAGGAAACAGCAATTCTCAACGGGAACTTACAGCAAACTGCACTACAGAGCTTCCAGCTGGAAACTAACCTCATTGGGCATGTGGGGTGGAAGATCTTCACTGCTGTGTTAGAACTGTAAGTGAAGGACTTCTAGATAGCTGTACCCCACCAATATATTGGAAACATTTGTAAAATGCTATCATTGTGTATTGGTATAGTGGGTTTTGTGCCTTAGCAGAAAAAGCTCCTTTGTAGAGAGAGGTTGACAAAGTTTATTTTATCAGATTTATTAATGAAGAATTAATAGTTGCAATGACCCCAGCGAGATATGCCAGTATATGGAACAGACCATAGTTGACCCATGTCCCCAGTACTCCTGGAATTACCAGCCATTCTCAGCTAACTCTGTGAACAGCAGTAGAATAATTAGAACAAATAAAATGGAGTCCGAATTTGGGGGCATTTTGTTTTGTTTTGTTTTGCTTTGCTTTCTTCTTCTTTCTCCCTCTCTTTGTTTGATTATTCCAGATGCTTTAACGAGATGCAATCTTTTTCTCTTTTTTTGCTTTATAAACGCAATAATGATTTCTTGCACAATTTAGTAAACTGAATGGACTCCCAATTCCTTGAAATTCACTCCTGCAACTTATTTACTCTTCTCCACCCTTCTAGAGAAGGATAGATGAGGTAATTTTTCTGAACTCTCAGACTGACTTGGAAAAATGGGCTGCAATATTGCTCCCACCACCACCACCAGAAGAACTTGGTTAATTTCCAAGAGTCTGACGTGCTCCTTGTTACAATTTTAGGCACATGTTTATGCAAAACTTGTGTACACACACAGAATAATGCAATGTGGGAAGAAGCTCTAAGATACCAACAGAACTAATCTGGGTTTAATCCATGTACTTCAGTCTAACCAGGCTGTGGACTGGGCTGAATGTCACTTTGATACCTTTTTTATGGAACTAAATGTAAGATGGATAGAACTGACTGCACTTTTAACAGCTTGTGCTTGCAAAGGTTACTCTGAGTCAGCTGGCAGGAATGGATACCAATTAGAAAGTCGGCTCCATGATAGACTATTTGTTTTTAACATCAGCTAGCAAATATGACCATCACTCTTGGGGCACCTGTCATGCCTGTCAGAAGGAAAGATTAACATCTGAATGATTTGAAGTGTTGTAAGACTCATGCAGGAATACACCCGCCTATTAAAATATAGAATATACACTAAAACCCAGTTCCAAGAACAAGTTGATTTGTACATATTGCTAAATCTTTTATTATTATTATTGAAATACTGTTGTGTGATATATACTGTTTGGATATTTAATAATCAGACTGGCCAAGTTATTTGAGTTCCAAATTAATTATAGAAAATATCAATTATGAAAATGATGGACTCAAAATTGAGGTTTTGTTACACGGAGATGGATGTGACTTGGTATATTGTTTGAATTTCATTATAGGTTCATGGTTTCTGTATTTTTTTTCTCTTTTAAATGCCTATTGTGAAGTTACTTATGATCCTTAAAATCTGTGATCAGAATTACATGAGAAAAACCATAGAATTATCCAGTGCTTTTTTTCTGGGGGGACGAAGGGGGACGCATACCCCTAAACATTTTGTGAATCTAAGTTTGGCCTCATTGAGGGGCAGTATTTCAATATAAGTAGGAAAATGAGAGTACCCCTAACATTTTTTAAAAAGAAAAAAAGGACTGAAATTATCTAATCTACTTGCTTTTAATTGGTTTCCAATAATATTAAGAGCCTAATAATAATATTCAGCTATTTATTAGCTATTTCCAGTGAGCACATGCTCTTCTATCCATATGCTAGACCAAAGTCGCATCCCAAAAGGTCCTGTGTCCCAAAGTGGGAGTCCATTTCTTCCTTGATAAAATACTGTATACACAAGGTCAGCTGGGCATCTGATTCTGGCATCTAATTATTATTATTAAATTTGTATACCGCCCTATACCCGCAGGTCTCTAGTTAGAATTGATAGTATCTACTTGCATGCAATGAGTTGTGATGCCATATGATTGCAGTTGCTCTTTATACTTCTATCCTGCCTTCCCTCCAGTTTACCTATGATCCCCAGATTGTCTCCCATCCAGACACTGCTCAGGCCGGACCTCCTTGGTTTCAGCAGTAGAACTGATCACATCTCACACCTCTGTTCCTTCTCTTTTTGCTAGGGCAAAAATGGGCACATTCCTTCCTAAACATTTACCTAACGATGCAGCAAGTTCTAAAAAGAAATGGTTAGCCTTCATTATTTTGGAATGAGATACATAATGGATGATTTGCCCAGCATATGTGCTGTACCTTAATGAGAATAGTATCTTAATTTAATCTTCGGACCACATCATCATTATTTTAGTAGAATCCTTCTCTGTTAACTAATTGCTTTCTTTCCTTTTTGAAATGTTGAACAGAGTATTCTACAAGAAGGGGTCAGCAAGATCCAGATAAAAATGAAAATGAAGCAGTACATGGTATGGTTTGCTCTGAAAGCTGCTCTGAAAGTGCCTCCCTTTGGCACCCCCTCCTTGTGTTTCATTTGGTAGTGTCCAGTTGCTTTCAGAATTCTAATCAGGCTGATTAATGTCCTGGCAGCTTTCACAGTGCGATAGCTATTTGCATGGTAGAGGCTGGCAAGGAGTGGTACACCTTTTCGTAATTTAAAAGATAAAGACAAGTTCAGATTATAGCCTGTGCCATCCGTCCCTTTCCCTAAGATTAAAACCGACCAATAATGGAATGCATTTATTTTGTAAACGATCTTCAACCATCCGCAGATCTTGTATTTCACTAAAGGCAAGATACATCTAGAAAATGTAGCCTCTCACGGGAATTGTGCCTTATTTGTTTACAATTAGTTTTAAAAGTAAAAGAAAGTGATCCAGCAAGCGGACAAACAAGCAAACACTGGGTTCCATTTATATGTGTATTTTTATTGCATTCTCTTCCTTTTAATTAGAAGAATAACAACTACAACCAAGGGGTGCTTTCTGCAATTCAAATGTTAATACCGACAAAATATGTGTCTATTTGTGATGTGGATTATTATTTTTTACCAACAACAGCCTATTTGGTATTAGGTGACAATAATATGCCTAATTCTCTTTTATGAAATATGATTTTAAAATAAATAAACATTTTAATGCTTGTGAGCTGTTGCCCAGAGCAGTCTGAATGAAACTGAAGGACTAACTTTGATGCATTGATTTCAGTGGGTCTACTCTAAGTAGAACTTAGTGGCATCCAGCACTGTAAATTTAAGTGTGAGATTGGATTTACCTGAGTATCGATTATGGTTCCAAAGCTCAGTGGAGTTCAGCTCATTCTGGAAGGTGGTGGTGAGGGAGAAGCATCTCTTTCCTCTATTCAGGTGAAATGGGCTGCCTTTCATAAATGAAAGGAGCCCTTCACACAACAGCCAGACTGGATCCAACCCTGTTTAACTTTGTCATCATTACTATTAGCATTTTTAATTACGGTAATGTGTTCGATAAATTTGTCAATGTACTTTAGAATTATTATTTTTTTAGAAAAACAACAACAACCTTGGGATACTAAGCTCTCGGTGGTCAAAATCCACAAACTGAGATTAACAATGGTATCAGAAAAGGAAAGGAGATCATCATATCATTCCAAGGGAGGAAGGTATTCCCCAGCACATTATAAAGGGAAAGAGGACACTGAACACAGGCCACATCCCCACTCCTACTCCCTAGGCAAGTCATGGACTTCCATCTCTTTTTCCTTCTACAAACTGAAACTAAGGGATTCCATTCAAATGACAAGGAGGCTGCCTTTGACACCCACCTATAATCCTTCACTTTGGAAGAAGCAAATTGTTCCTTCTAGGGTCTTTATTAATAAGTGATATTTTATATTAAAATGTTATTTTAAAAAACAACAACACCTGGTATAGAAACATTTCATATACACATTGGTAAGATTAGGTAAAGGTAAAGGACCCCTGACAGTTAAGTCCAGTCGCGAACGACTCTGGGGTTGTGGCACTCATCTCACTTTACTGGCCAAGGGAGCTGACATTTGTCCGCAGACAGTTTTTCCAGGTCATGTGGCCAGTATGACTAAGCTGCTTCTGGTGAAACCAGAGCAGTGCACAGAAACACTGTTTACCTTCCTGCCAGAGTGGTACCTATTTATCTACTTGTACTTAGACGTCCTTTCAAACTGCTAGGTTGGCAGGAGCTGGGACCAAGCAACAGGAGCTCACCCCGCCATGGGGATTCGAACCGCCAACCTTCCGATCGGCAAGCCCTAGGCTCAGTGGTTTAGACCACAGCGCCACCCGCATCCGATTTCTAAGATTACCATGTTGCAAATGTTTGCAGCACACAGTAGCATCATGAATTAATTGGACTCTTGTATATGCATACATTAGACACAGCGCTCTTCAGTGGCCGGCCTTCGAGGATCAAAGCCTGAATGTGTGTGATCCCTGCTGAAGAGGGTAACATGGGAGTAGATCTTGTCTTCACTCATCTTGTCACTCGTGAAGGATGCACACCTGCTCAGGTTTTGTAAGTTAAACAACCTTCGCTGTTTTGTCACTGTGTGCTTTCAAGAGTTACAATAGCACTGCACATTTAAATGTTAGTACTGTTCAACATGCTGACAGTTCAATTTCTACTTGTCTTCACTCCTCTGTCTCCTTGTCTTTCCTCTGCTCAATATACTAGCTTAACACACTTCCAGGTTGCCATTTCAGTTATCACATGTAATTATTTTCTTAGTCTTGTTGTATTTAGTTGAAGTCTAAAGTTCATGGAACAGCAGCCAAATATTTAAAGCCTCAGCAGGAGAACCTGAGTTGAAAACAGAACTGGAACTAGCAGTTTCTGTGCCCTGGGCAGACTACAGTTTTAACATCTCAGAGTGGGGTTTTTTTAGGATTAGGAAACTGTCTTGATTGACCAATGGTCTGCCTCTGTATAAAGCACTTTCCTATATTCCTGCATGGGTCTTAAATGTTCTCAGAAGTTCTCCAATTCCTAACAACCAATAAGCACCTTGAATTCTACTCAGAAATAGAGAGGAATGTCCAGCAGAGCTTTTCAGCAAGTTACCATTTGAAAGCCAAACTGGTGTCTTTCAAACCATCTGAAGTTTGCAGGAGGTCCTCGAGGACAGTCAAGCCTGCTACTTCTGACCAACACCAGCCTGAGCTGGCAAAGAGTGCTTTGTGTCCAGAGTAAGGTACTCCAAAACAGCACTCAAAATTGTGAGCCCCATTCTTGAGAAAGTGTGTGATCCCATCCAGAACTTTAAACATCCTACCACCTCAGTCAGATGGACCATTCAGCCAGATACATTTCCAGGATTAGGGATTAAGCATCAGTATAGTATCCCTCATTTGGTATGCTGATGATTCTGTTTAGGTTGGATAGTACTGTTTCAGGGGGCTAGAGGCTATATGGCAGTAACAGAAGGGGCTGAAGCCAGTTGTGGGTGGGATCAGAGACCAAAATGGGAAGGGCCACTCACCCACCTTCTCTCTCTCTCTCTCTCTCTCTCTCTCTCTCTCTGTCTCTTTTCCTCCTCCTATCTTTCTAAAAACTGGGGGCCTGCTGCTCTTGGGGGGATTACTATATCAAGCTGAAACTACAGTAGTACCTTGATTTTTCAAAGAAACAGCTTTTAATCATAGCTACTTAAAATGATTGAAATTGCACTGAAAATGTGGCAAGAAAAATAAAGAGCATAATTTTGTCAAAAGATGAATCCCACTGAGGCTCTTCATACTCCAAATGGCTTAAGCAGCAAACAGCAGAGCTGTGTTTTCAGTTAATGAAATGGGTAAATCACAGTGGCAAAGGCAAAAAGAAAACCAGGAAGGAATGGTCCAACCATTTTCCTGTTAAAAGCAGAGCAGAATTGTAGAGTCTTAGAACACTGCAATTACTGCAGTGAGATTTGGTCTGTGTGCATTAGCACATTTTTTAAAAATTTATTTTTTTGGCCAATATATAAGTGAAAAATGAGGTAGGAAATTATTTATTTATTTACCTGTTTTCCTAATTTTCACAAAACAAGAATTGGGAAAGATGCATTCTGTATTAACCAATCATGGCCCAATCTTGCGAGGTGGAGCGTGTTAATTTCATTAATCATTTGTAAACTATAGCAAGAATCTAAGATTTAGGACAGTGGTAGCCTACATGGTGCCCTTAATATGTTGTTCAACTCTGGCTCCCATCTAAGTCACAGTGGTAGTGTCACTTGCAACCATCAGACAGCAGTTTGAAAATGGATGCACTAAGAAGGAAGAGGGGCTCCTAAATGCTCCTAAATACATTTAGAGTGTCCTCACCAGACTCTGAAAAAGAGACTGTGGAAGCATGACATGTGGAAAGGAAATGTGCAAAGTGTGAAGAGGAAAGGGAGAGAATAGCATGTACAATAGGGAAATGAAGGAGTAGATGCCAGAGGTGACCTTTAACCATATGGACTAGAAGCTTGAGAGTAATTGAAAAGTGATAGGGACCTGGTGCAGAGATGGGAGGAAAGGGGGAAATGGCTTAGCCACTCAGGAGCATTAAGATGAGTCAACTTGATGCGGTAACAAAATGAAGGCTAATCAAGTAACATCTGGAATCCACAGGCAGGCATACAAAGTAACGTCTCATAAAAAGCAGAGCGAAAGTCCTCTGATATTCTTGGTATACAATACATGCTGACTTCTGCAAACAGGCTGTCAGAACCAGATGGAGTGGAAGGTCTGTTAATATTATGGAACAGTGATGGATGCCCACAAGGGCCTTTGCTTACAGTATGTTGCATTCAGTACCTGTGGTGCTGATTTTATAATGCATAACAAACTTTCTCAACATATTGCTCATAAGCAGTCCTGTCCGGGTTAAGCTGTAAGCAGCTATCAAGGAAGAGCCAAGCATTGTGTCAGGGGGAGTCAGAGCTGGGGAGAGGCTCAAGACCTACAGTAAGTGAAATATACTCGGAGTCGAAAGTGGATTTCATGCTCTTTATTCAGCTCATAGTGGTGAGGAGGAATGGAAGTTCCCCCAGGATGTCTGCTTTATATACATTATTTATACAAAGGGCCCCACGTGATTGGCTAATTCCGGGATTCACCTGTAGGCCAATCAGGTTGCAGATTCACTTCCACCTGGAGCTGGATTGGGTGGCTCCTGTGGACCAATCAGACTGCTGTCTTCTGGATCCTATTGTTCAAGGACCAATCAGACTGCTGCATTCTGAATCCTATTGTTCTAGGGCCAGTCAGACTGCTGCATTTTGGATCCTATTCAACTTAGTACATAACAGTAAGAGTGTTGTGAAACCCTCATCTTTATATATCTTTGTCCTGTGTGAAATTCTGTTGACATTTTAAAAAACAAATTCTTTAAATGCCAACGGTCCATAGGCAAGGTCTTTCTGTACCCCTCCTAGGAGTATCTAGAAGCTTCTAAATGGGAACCAAAGTTATTCCAGGGAGAAGAAAGAGTGGAGACTGCAAGGAGAGTAGAATGGAAAAAGCCACTGAGTTTTCCTGAAGGAGGCATGGAAGGGCCTAGCTATGTGCTGGCTGTGAAGTTGTATGACTGCAGGCTCCATGTTGGCATATAGACTTGAGGCTATTCATGGGAACTGGCAGGCCACAATAGCTTACACTGGAAAGCTCTCCACACAGATTTCCACAAAAGTGGAAGAACTACCTCATGGACATGGGCACCAATGCAAGTTTTTACCTTTGCTGTTTGGTTTCCAAGACTACTTTGCATACCGTATGTAGTACCTGTAATTTCATTTCGCATTAATGGCAGAGCTGGACCATGCTGCACTTCAGCAAATGTCTGTGTTTGGGCACCTCCAGACAATGACAGATATCCTCCCATCAATCTGCGAGTGAACCTTCCGCTGAGTCACAAGGGCTGCTGTGATGTCATCTCTAAGAATAGATCCTATCCAGGAAAACTAAAGAGCAACTTGGCGATTAATGTTCCTGGCACTGTCAAGATTGATCACACTTCAAGAGACGGGTGCTTCTAAGAAAGAAACAGCGGTGACTTTCATGGACAGTCATTGTGGAGTGAAAAATTCCTCCTCAAGTTTCTAGAAGTTTGGCGCTGCTCTTAACACTTGGTTCAGCACTTTGAAGCATGCAAATCACGCCCACACACCTGCTTTGTAATATATTTACCCCAAAGCTCTTGGAATCTTTCTCAATAAAGTTTGCAAAAAAGCAAAAAGAAAAATCCTACCAGGCTATCTTTCCTTGCCAGCTTTTCCCCAAGCAACTCAGAAGCGAAGGGAAAATGCGAGAGTGCTAGATGGTGCTAGTTTATGGGCCTGAAGAACACAACTGCCATCTCATTGTATACTCTATTTACTCAGACATACACACAGCACTCAGGTGAACCAACTGCATTTTCCGATTAATATAGCGGTGACAGAGAATGTAATTTCCCCAGCGAAACACTTCTTGGAGTATGCTGGATATGTGAATAGGGGCCACAGCTCATCAGGCACACAGTGCATTATACTTGGACAACGTAATTTAATTCCCAATCTGTTCCTAACAAAGTAAAGAAGCGAGTAGGCAGACATTATAAATTAGAGCTCAAGGCAAACCCAGTGTCATTATTATAGCTATATTACAGAGTCATTTATCAAAATGGATTAAATATTAATGAAGTTTTAATTGCTATTGCAGAGTAACACAGAAGCTGTAGCCAACGCAGGCACAAAAACTGCAGGTTGCTTCTCTGCCAAAATTTGACTGGATTGTTTTGGTTACGTGTGGGCGTTTTAAGCTTCTGTGGTGCATTCCAGAATTAAGAAGAATTCCCTTGAATCCACTGAAAGTCAAAGCTCTTAGAATACTTTAATATAATATTACACAGTCTTATTACAGATATTCATGCAAATTGATGGTGCATCACTCTTAGAGCTAGTTCATGCAGTCAGTTGTCTCAGGGACGGGGTATGTATTTTTATTTGTTTGACTTCACTGTTGCTCTTATAACAAAAGATTAAGATAAAAAAGTGGAAACCACATCCTTAAATTAACACTCTGAGAAAATTGGCTCCCTGTTGAAGTCAGTTTTGTTAGTTCCAGGTATCCGTCGGGCAACATCTGCAATTAGCTCAAGGCAACAACATTAGAGGGAGTCTTGGCTTGTTATGAATGGCAAGAAACACACTTCAAAGTGGGCTGCTTTCTCTATCATGCTTAGCTGAGCTGTTGATTGAACTTTTACAGCAGCTCTGTCCAGCAGTGATAGCACATAGCCAGCAAATTGTACCCAAACATTTCCAAAGTTGGGAAGCCTTGAGACTGCCAAACTTTATGAGCATCAGCAAAATTGGTCCCGATATTGGGAAATCAGTGAAGCAAGGGAAAGAAAAGAATAACCATGATGTGACAGATATATCACATCCACACATCTTGCTATAAATATGGTACCCTCCAGATTTTGTTGGACTGAAACTCTTATTGGTCCCAACCAGCATGGCCAACAGTCAGGGGTGATGGGAATCGTAGTCCAAAAGATATGGAGTGCACCACAATGGCTATGCCTCTTATAATAATATTGCACCAAGCTATTCCTCATAGTCAGGATGGTGCAGAATTTACATGAATTCAAGTTCATTATACCTGCAGAACACCAGCCCATCCAGCTGTTTAGGATTCTGAGAGTGGTTAGGAGGCCCCTATTCCCCACCCAGACCTCCTGCAGTAGCGCCAATTCTGCTGAATGGAGCAGTTGAGTGGGCACATACAAGACGATCTTGTAGGTAAACTGGTCCCAAATTGTTAAGGACTTTATATACTAAAAGGAGCACCTCAAACTTTGCCCAGCAGCAAATCAGCAACCACTGCAGATCTTTGAGCGCAGGTGTTATATGCTGACAAGGCCTCTTTCCTGTCAACAATTGAATTGCAGCATTCTGCACTCATTGCAGCTTCTGGACCAAGCTTGAAGGAAGACGCACATAGAGTATGTTGTAGTAATCCAGTCTTGAAGTAACCAATGCATAAACTACTGCAGCAAGGCTTTCCTGGTCAAGAAATGGCCACAGCTGTCAAACCAGTTGCAGTTGGTGAAAGGCATTTCTATCCCCTGAGGCTACCTGAGCCTCCAGTGACAGAGCTGGGTCCAGAAGCACCCTCAAGCTTTACCTGCTCCTTCAGAGAGAGTGCAACCCCACCCAGGGTAGGCAGCTGACCAGTTTGGTGGACACAGGACCTCCTTACTCACCCACAGTGCCTCCATCTTGCCAGGATTCAAGCTCAACTTGTCATGATACTACTATAAATGTACAGTGCAGATGGGGCCTTAATGAAGATGTCGCTCACATCATTGCATTTAATTTCATTCTGGTGGGGTGGGGGCAATCATGTGATCTGGACAATCAGCTGGCACTACACTGCTTAAACAATTTGAAGACTGCTGTAATGATCCCTTTCTAATTCTTTTTCTTTCGCTCTGGGTTTTCACTCTCTTAACCTATGGCTTCTTTAAATATGTTCTACCATGAAATCACATTACAATATACTTTATAGTTTGCATTTAAATATTAATAGCTTCTTTGTATACCTGGGGTGTGGGTGTGTACCTCACTTATATCTTATCCTCCTTAACTGAGTCTTATCAGCACCACAAATGGTGCAATGGGAAAACTACATGGCCATCCAAAATTACCTGCTGTCTCTTGTTTAATCAGCAGGAGGGTTTACAGAAAGGTGATTAAGACCAAGATGCTTCATACTGCCAACCTGCCTAGGTTATATTCTCGATTCTTTATCTCAAACATCCGAGAGTAAGATAGAGGGAATTTAAAAGTTAAATGGAGAAATAAATGGTAAGAACCAAGAAAAATGATTAAACCTAAGGAGTACATCTTCTACATTCTGGAATTCATGCAACTATTAAATGACAATTTAAAGGGTTTTTTTAAAAGGGACTTCAAGACGGGACAGAGATTGTGTTTTATTGCACAAATACTACTCAGTTCCTGTCTACTTGCTTTAATTGGCAAGACAGGATCCTAAAAGAAGCCACAGACCATTTTTTTTCCAATTAATATTTTCCTCATTCATCTTTTGCCCCCGCTCTTTTGTCACCAAAGCCATCTATCAAATTTCAGTTGACGTCAGCGATGCAAGTCAGTGCCCTTAGTTTCAGCTTTCACTCCTCATTTCTGACCTTTGAACCCCATTGCAGACAATGCTTCTTTATTACTGCCACACGTAGTTTCTGCAGAATGTTTTGGGGAATAGAACCAAAAGAGAAAAACAAACTAAAGATAGCACATTAAAATGAAAATCTATTGACCGTCGTTCCTTCTCTCTTCCTGAACCACTCAGGGTTATGTTCTTCTTTTCCAAAAATGACCCCTCCCCCAACAAAGACAATAAAAGTTACAAAGCTTGTCATAAGAGTAAAAGGCACACAGGTTGCTGTTCTTGATTTAATAATTGATTTAGCATTTCAAAACTTAGTATTAGACTCTAGAGAGGCAAGGTTGCTTTGTTTTTTAAATTTAAAGTCCAACTCCATTCATTGCCCAAGGCATGTTTCTGTACCTCAGCTTGGTTCGGTTTCTGTATTCAGAAATTCAGTTTAATAATTCACTTAGTTTAACTTGTAAGTTCTTTTAAAAAAAGATGACACTAAGGTAAACAGCACCATATGAAAAGTCTCCCAATGTTACTCACATAGTATACATACTCTTTTGAAGATTTGGGGCATCATCAAAGTATTCACAGAACTAAGTTACTTTTAATAAATGATGCCTTTGAAACAGTCTTACAATATTTGGCAAACTATGGGTGACATCTATTGCTGGCAGTACACAAATGGAATAGATTTCCACTCATGCCATAGCTCTTACTCTACTTTTTCTCCCACCTGCAATCCTTCAAATATGGGGGACCCCATGAACCAGATTTGAGAGGTATGCGGGGGCTGTGGGGAGAAGTGGAATGGGGAAGCCATGCTGCTCAACTGGAAGTCTGTTGGGAACTGGGTTTCACCTTTAAAAAAAAAAAAAAGTACTATCAGTAGATTTACCTAAAGGAAACACTTGTTAGGCTGGGTTGTTAACTATTGTTCTCTCTTACTGGAGATGTTGTAAAGTGGTATGGGATTTATAAAGCCTTTCTGCCATTACTTATTGGAACATCTGCTTCTCCCACAAATGGTGAGCAGCTTGTCTGGTTGTTTAATCACATATCTGGTTAATTGATCACAGTAATCAACAACAGATGGAATTCATGGAATCACAGAACTGTAGAGTTGGAAGGGACCCCAAGGGTCATCTAGTCCAACCCCTTCCAATGCAGGAATCTCAGCTAAATCATGCATGACAGATGGCCATCCAAAGAGGGATTGGACATAAACTTTATCAATCTGCTGTTGAAAAAGGAAACAGTGGATCTCTTACACAATGAACCACTGGCACAAGAACTATTGAAATCTCCCTGCTAAAGATCTTGTTGTTATTTTCCATATGGACAGACTTCCACTGTTATTGAAGACCGCTCAAAAGTATATTTCAAGAGACTTGGACCTAATAAGGTAACTGGCTGAGCTAGTCAGCTTGGATGAAGAATGACCAGACTGAAGACATTATTTTTCTGGAAACCTAACATTTGGCAAGCTTTCTCCTACCATTTTTTAGTACAGTGGTACCTCGGGTTACAGACGCTTCAAGTTATAGACTCCACTAACCCAGAAATAGTACCTCGGGTTAAGAACTTTGCTTCAGGATGAGAACAGAAATCATGCAGCAGTGGCGCGGCGGCAGTGGGAGGCCCCATTAGCTAAAGTGGTGCTTCAGGTTAAAAACAGTTTCAAGTTAAGAATGGACCTCCAGAACGAATAAAGTTCTTAACCCGAGGTACCACTGTACGGCATTTTAAGGTTTTTTGCTGTGTGTTTTTTGTACTGCTTCAAAGATTATTTGCTTGGATTCAACTAACCCAGCACACAGGGCAGACTTTGGTAATCTTTCAAAATATGTTGCCCTGTGTGAAGCCAAAATTTGGTGTCCCCAAATGGATTTTCCCAGTTATGGATTTTCTCAATTTTGTGCCCCCTCGGCTTGGTGCCCTGTGCTGGGGAACCACCTGCTCCACCCTAAATCCAGCGCTGCAATACAGAAGCCAGC